GAGCAGTGTCAAGGTAAAGGGGCACTTTGCACCCTGGTTCTTCATCTCCTCTCTAAAGGCCTGCTGCTGTGTGTGGTTGGAGACAGACTGCTGGAGGAGGGGTCTTTGGATCTGAACCTGGGACTTCTTTAGTTCTTACAAAATAAGTAACAATATCTTTGATGTTAAGTATACAAAAACACTTCAGTCATCTTGGAAACTTTAAGTTTTTAAGAAAGTGAATGCTGGGGAGGTTATCTGGCTCTGGAAGTATCTAGCAGGTAAGAAAAAGATTTAGGGCTGCAATGTGCGATTTACGCATGTAAACCCTGCACAAATCCTGGTTTAGATACTTCAGATTTTTGGGGGGAAGTGAGGGAAGAAGGGAGTGGTTCTTTACAGGATTGTGGAGCTGGATTAAATGGCCTTCTCTAGTTGAACTAGTTGAAGAAACATTTCCTTAATGTCCAGCAATTTGTAGAATAGCACAATTGATCATCTTCCCACCTATTAGCAAAGAACAGACATAAATAAACATAAATATATGCAGTGTGTAGTAAATGACGTTGTACCCTTACTGTGATGATTTTCTTAAAATGTTTTTTAAATGATGATAAATGGTTCTGATAAAGTGAACCTTCTCTTCAAGGGAATAAAACCAACATCAGAATATGTAAAAAGTAGAGAGGTAGCCAGATGTTCTCATATGGTCAATTAAAAATTATGGAAATTGCTTCCTTTGCTCAAAGCTGTTACAAAACACGATCTTTGGAGACAGTGCTGTTCTCTGACTGCTGGTGAATTGAATCATAGAATCATAGAATGTTTTGGGTTGGAAGGGACCCCTAGAAGTCATCTAGTCCAACCCCCCTGCAGGAGCAGGGACACCGCTAACTAGATCAGGAATTGAGAACAGCATTTAGTCAGCATCTTCCAGGCTTGTACCCTGCGTTGACTTTATATTCAGTGGGGTGTCTGTGGCATACCAGGCAGTAATGGGTTGGGATGGAGGGTAATTTAAGGGTTGACTTGCTGCTTACACCGAAGTTGAAGCTTCGTCTAGGGTATCCATAGGACTTCTGCAAGGCGGCAAGTTAGCAACAGAATACAGTGAAATAAAAGGCTGGTAAAGAGATTTAAGCCTTATTTCAAATGCTTGTCTGTAAAACAGTATGTATTGAATACATTGAAGTTCCCCCTTTAAGAACTTCATCAAACTGGGGGATTGCTTTTTGCATTAAGCTGTGGGTTAAATGACTTATTTTGAGGTGAAGTATGGGATGGAGGAACAAAGCATTAAGCCTTTGTGTGTGATGGAGGTATCTGAGTGTGTGTGGTTCCTTCTGGTGTCTCAGTCCATTGGTGAGTTCTGGGATCCTGTGAAGCTCTTTTCTGTGTTGAAATAATGTGCTTAAAAGACTAAAACGAAGGTAAAAAAAAGGTGTTGTCCTTGAGTCTGATGGCTTACAAATAGCAAAGGCCTTCTGTGTCTGCTTCTTGGCTGGAAAATCCTAGAAAATATGGTGGGAAGGGACATTTGATCTTGCTGGCCTTGACCTTAAAAACTATGCCAGAGCTCTTCCTGAGAGATGTTTGTCTGACCTGAAAACCAGCACTGGTGGAGATTTCCTGGCTGTCTCAAGCTTAGTGCTTTACTATCTCTAATGGTTTTCCTCGTCTCCTTTGCTGCAACTCAGGTTTGTTACCAAGGACTCAAGTTCTGAGGAGAGGTGAAAAGCATTGTATTGCCACTTTCTTTGGAGCTTTCTGGTTTTAACAGTACTGGAAATTACTCCCCTCAGTCTTCGTCTCCACTGGATTGAGGAACCCTGCTTATTGTCATATTTTTCACATGTTCTATTTGTTAGACTTGTGATCATTTCCATTATGTCTGCTTGATTCAGATCTCTCTTGAGCTGCAGTGCTGAAAGCTGGACTGAGATAAGACTTATTTGCATGGTTCCCTGCTCCGCAGCTGGCACTGAGGTGCCTTGGTCTCACTGAGGACATCAGTCAGGTCAAACTGAGGGGTCTCCCTTTCCAGGAGAGGAGCCTAAAAGCTGAATGCTACAGTGTTCAGCTCAGTGGTGGTCGAGTCTCTTGAGATGTAAACACCTAATTGCAATGCTGAAAGGGTAAACCATCATATAGTACTGAGAGATGATGAGCAGATATCGCCAGCAATAGTACTTATAAAATGCCAGTGAAACAAATTATTTAGAAACGTCTGTTAGTAGAAACTAATTGAATTCTGTGTAGACTGGAATATATAAAGCAGGATGCAGCCAAGAATTAATGAGGGAGAGAATAAATTGGCACGTGGATCCCCTCATCTGTTTTCCTTCTCGAAATAGCCTGTTTCTAGGGCCAGGATGGGTAAGAGTAGAATGATGAAACAACTGGACCCGCAAACGCAGTGTGAGCATAATCATGTTGAAGAACAATGACAACATTGTTGAATGTCTGTAGAGGATTGCCACAACTCCTGCTTGGGTAACACAGGAAGCCCAATGGTGAATGGTTTGAGTAAAAGGAGGTGTTTCCATGTGTTTTGGCGTTCAGTGGTCATTGGTCACAATCCAGCCCTTACTTTTCTGTTTGTAACAGTGATATATTTGATGGCTGTATTTGAAATTCCACATGAAATGTGAATGCTGGTATGTTTTTCTGGTCAAAGTATGGGCTCAGAAGTCTCATCTGTGCCCAAATTCCAGTGTCTTTGTGGTGATAAGGATAGGATGAATCTGTTCAGCTGTGGTCCCTGAGAAACACACTGCAGTTGTGGTTTACCTCCACTGCTGAGAAGGTGTTTCTCCTTTGCAGGAAGAGTATGTACACGTGTACATGTGGTTGTTGGGGCAAGACTTGGACCCTACAGTAACTTGGGTGATGATTGTTTCAGCTAGAGCCTTCTGGCACCATTTTGCACCCTAACAACAACAACATGAGTTGAAGTACCCTGGAACGGTCTGCTGGCCTAGGGGGAAGATCTATTCTCATTAGTAGGTTCTGTGTCTTTATTTCACCCCACTGGCATGGAAGCAGAAGGGAGATCAATACTAATGATAGATTATTGTAAAAATGCATCATTTTGCTAAACCAGCAAATGTAAACAACCCCCCTTCTTAAAACCCCTTTGAGGATAAAGTTGGCACGTGGATCCCCTCATCTGTTTTCCTTCTCGAAATAGCCTGTTTCTAGGGCCAGGATGGGTAAGAGTAGAATGATGAAACAACTGGACCCGCAAACGCAGTGTGAGCATAATCATGTTGAAGAACAATGACAACATTGTTGAATGTCTGTAGAGGATTGCCACAACTCCTGCTTGGGTAACACAGGAAGCCCAATGGTGAATGGTTTGAGTAAAAGGAGGTGTTTCCATGTGTTTTGGCGTTCAGTGGTCATTGGTCACAATCCAGCCCTTACTTTTCTGTTTGTAACAGTGATATATTTGATGGCTGTATTTGAAATTCCACATGAAATGTGAATGCTGGTATGTTTTTCTGGTCAAAGTATGGGCTCAGAAGTCTCATCTGCGCCCAAATTCCAGTGTCTTTGTGGTGATAAGGATAGGATGAATCTGTTCAGCTGTGGTCCCTGAGAAACACACTGCAGTTGTGGTTTACCTCCACTGCTGAGAAGGTGTTTCTCCTTTGCAGGAAGAGTATGTACACGTGTACATGTGGTTGTTGGGGCAAGACTTGGACCCTACAGTAACTTGGGTGATGATTGTTTCAGCTAGAGCCTTCTGGCACCATTTTGCACCCTAACAACAACAACATGAGTTGAAGTACCCTGGAACGGTCTGCTGGCCTAGGGGGAAGATCTATTCTCATTAGTAGGTTCTGTGTCTTTATTTCACCCCACTGGCATGGAAGCAGAAGGGAGATCAATACTAATGATAGATTATTGTAAAAATGCATCATTTTGCTAAACCAGCAAATGTAAACAACCCCCCTTCTTAAAACCCCTTTGAGGATAAAGAAAGAAAATAAGCAGTAAAAAGCATGCACAGATGGATGTTATTCTGATAGTAACATGTTGTATTGAAAATGTTAGAGGGAAGGAATGCTAATCATGCAAAATTGTAGGCAGCGAGGTCATGAGGAAAGTACTGAACTGTAAAGGTTTTCCATTTGTGGGCTAGCTCAAACGTCACTGATTTGACTAATGTATCATCAAAGGTGTTCGTGGCTTGGCTCAGCCAGGCTTGTTATCTGTCATGTAGGTAATTTTTGCTAGTATACCGGCACTGTAGAGATTAGAGAATATACATACCAGAAATAGTAATTTGTAATTGGAACTATGTTCCTTTGTTTTCTATGTGGGGAAAGAAAACATAGTGAGAATTAACTTATATAGAGAAGTGTTTAAGAAATTTATAGTGTTTTGATAGAGTCAAAGTGCTCTCTTAAGGATCAGGGTTATTTTTATTTAAAGTTGAAAGTAAATCTTTTTGTTGGATGATAAAGTAAGCATAATTCCGGAGAGCCTGGAAGGAGATAATTTTTAATTGCTGTAATTGCACATGTATTTTCTGCTGAAATATATTGCTGAGATATCATATGTTATTCTTCAGTTCTTGACCTAGTAACACTGCAATTTTTTAAAAGGTCAGACTTTAAATGTATAACTGCTATCTAAGATTGTTTTAAAACTGGAGCAGTGAAAAGGAGTTTTCTTTGATTTCAGAGCTGTTACCCTAGGAAAAGAGCACAGATGATAACTTTGAGCCAATTCTTTGGAGCCTTACCAAATTAAAACTCTGTGAAAGTGCTAGGAAGCCTGCAGTTCTGTCCTTGTCATAGAAGAAAGTAGCTTAGCATCCTGGTTATCTGATGTTTTCCATTGTAGTCTTAGTAATTCATCCTTGAGCAAAACAGACCGGTATATTTTATCAAAAAGGGAAGAACCATTTGTGAGACGGATTTTACTTTTTGTTGATCAACTTTTTTTCTTCTTCAGATAAAATGGAACCTTTTTGTCACTGTTAACTAACTTTTTTTAAATTTAATTTCTAGCCGATAAATTTAGACGGAAACTGGAAGAACTGGAAAAAGAGAAAAATTCTTTAAAATTTCAGCTTCCTTCAAGGCATCCTTCAATTAGCAGTTTTTTGGATAGGTTCACTACCCAAGTTCAAGCAACGTTGCGCTGGGCTGCTGATCATCGGTAAGTTTGTTGATTCCTTATTATGAAAAGTGACGCTTCTGTTTTTCTCAAAATGTGGAATACAATTTATGAATAATTCTAATAGAGAGTTTTAAGGACCTTCTAACCTATCAATATGGAGCTTGTTTATGAAAATTCCCTCTGTTCCCCTGCCTTTTTTTCTTCCTACAATTCTTTCAGAATTGCCCTGAAAAACATAGATCATGATGAACTGTTAAATTAAATGGAACTTTTCTCACTGATGTTGAGTGGGAATAGGATCGACTTCTTGACACAGCAGCTTGAGCATACAACAGCAAGGCAGCTTGAGCAATGGTTCCCCGTGGAGTTAATTCAGATGCTCCTTTTCAGGCAATGAAAGGATATTTAAATATAAAGTAAAAACAGATTCTTTTTTGATATGCATAGATCTTTGGGAGCTTCCTTTTATGCATCACTTGTTAGGTGGCAGTAAAGTGCTCAGCACTGTGCAAAGTCTCAAAAATAAATTCTTGGCCTTCTCTTGAAGGGATAACAACTTCAAAGACTGGGGGAATGTGAGATGTGTTGGATGACCCAAGGGAGGTAGTTAGCTTAGGAAGAAAAAGTTGTCTCTCTTTCTAGGTCTTCTTTAGTTATGCTACTGGTTACTCTTCTTAGAAGTAAGAGGTATTGGAAGCTATTCTCAAATGCAGTAGCACAAATGAAAAAAGAAAAACCTTTTGCCTTTTGTTTTCTGTCAGTTTGTACATATAAAGGTTGCAGTGTTCTAGTCAGTATATTTGGGTGTAATTTTTGATACGCATGAAAATTAGATAAAATCAGTACAGATAATAGGATTTTATTGTGAAATTTGAGACTTTTAAGGGTATTTTTACCCTCTATTTATGCCATGTAGTAATGAGACAGGTTTAAAACAAACTGCAGTCCCTCAGAGCTGTTTCTTTCTACCTTCTGAGGCCCTGGGAAGCTGTTTTACCGTTCCTTAAAGATTAGGATACAACATTCTGTGTTTTGTCATTAAGACGTGTGTGCTCTATGCGTTAATCTGTAATAATGATTTTTTGCTTTAGAGGTGGTGTTGTCTTCAGCGCCTTAGAAATTGAGTCACTAAAGCATCCTTGAAATACATAGTCTGCTTATTTTTTTTCCTATATAAAGTATATATAAAATATATACAGTTATGAAAGTCTTCCTGTCCTTCAGATGATTATATTTGTAACTCTTCTCTTTGCACAGGTCTGAGAGCAGTGCCATTCTTCAGGGTCAGATGAATATCCTCTTCATTTTCTGTCTTGTGCACACCCCTTTAAGCTTGAGTTTGACTGTTTTTGTGACACCCTTTCTTTTTCTCAATTGATTCTTGTAGCCTTTCATGCCGCTTTATCTGTGGTCTGACTCTTGTTGATGCAGCAAACGTACCCTTTTGTCTTCAATAGGAGTGTTTAAAACTTTTGTGTTCCAGAAGTATTTTTAGATAGTACAGGGTGGAAAACGACCACTTCTTTGAGGAAAATTTGTAGGCTTCAGTCTTTATTTTCATTTTGAATTGGAACAAAACCAATATATCCAAGATTTCTTTTTTCACCTGGAAAATTAAAAAGATGATCAGACTAGCCCCAGAAGACCAGATCATCGCAGTTTTCCTGCGGTCAAGCCAGTCTCATCTTCTTGCAAATAAAGAACTTTTAAAATGAAAAGTGTGTATGGCAGGTTATTTGTTTAATACATGAGACTTAAATTCATGCCCTGGTTTTGCTTTACTTGATTAAATTATGAAATGAGTTTTCAGGTGAATGCAATCTGTGTTGACACAGGATGTTGGGGGCAGGTGGTAGGAGCCAGGTTTGGTTATGTTTTGTTTAGGAACAATACGGTGTTCATGCGATCATCCAGGCTTGGTGTTTCTGTGTCCTCAGTACCAAGTAGGTGGATGTACACGGGATTTCCAAGGAGTTTATGAGAATAACCAATGTTTATTGTGGAATGTTCCCTAAATTTTGACCAGCCGCTTGGAAATTTCTGTTGCATACAGCTCTCAGAAAGATGCAGCTCTCACTAAAAGATGGCTTCAGAGCTGCTGGGAAGTGTGGCTGGTTGGAGCCCCAGTAATCTGTGATGATTGTAAGGCATGTACATGGTGGTGGCCTAGCACCTCATAAAATGGATGTGTCTGATCTATTTTGTTATTATGGAAATACAGTTATGCTGTCATTATGTCTGTTTTGTTTAAGTATTAATGCCATTTATTTTGGTGCCAGGGTTCTATTTTGCTTTTTCAGTATGTTCTTCAGCCCATAGAGAGGGAGTAAAGCACGTGTGTCTCCTGATGGTCCTGCAGCAGAGACCTCTTGTTCTACACACTTGTTAAACAGCTGTGCATGGAGATCATAACTGTGCGATTAATCATGCTTAAACCAGATTTGTGATGCATGTTTTGTATGGATGTATATGCTTTGCAAGATTACAATGAGAAATTATGCTTCAAAAACATCCTTTGTTTGAGACACCATTTTTTTAAAACAAGATACTGAAATGCATCTGTACCCTTTCTGTGGAAATGCATGCACTTGGACACAGAAATGCAATTGGCCTTGCAAGCGTGCATGCCCTTATGCAGGAATATGCAAGACAAAACAGGTTTGCATTGCTTGCAGGTGCATTCTGAGAGGCTGATTATAGATTTGACACAATGTAATGTACTGATTACCTTGGGGTCCAGCCATGCAAAGATTTACAGCTGAGGGTTGTACAGACCACTGTGAGGAATCCCACTGACTGCAATTTTGAAATAACTCGCTGTGCAAGAGAGAAGTAAAATTTGGCATTGTGGAGCAAACACTCCAGATGATCTCTAATGTAGTATCCAAAAGCTGACAGAAGCTGCAAAAATGGCTTTGGCAAGTTTCTAAACTTCTGTCTAAGAGAGATTTTTCTCTGTATTGATAGAAATTACGTGCCTTAGTTTTGTCTCTTTCAAGGCAGTGATGGATAAATTTCTGAAGTATGAAAAAGCTGGGGGAAGCCTGAAGCTATACAAGTTTTCCTTCTTCCTTCTTTAGCGTGTTGTAAAAACAGTGTAAATGTTTGAGATAATAAAGGAAGATATGCCAAGGAGAAATCTCTTGTTCTCTAACTGTATCCGTTTAAGATGTAATCATTCTGGTGATGGAGTGTTATGACTGAAGGTAACATGTAGCATTCTGATCTACTAAATCTTTGAAACGTCGATGCTCAGCAATAATGCTAATTTTTAGCTTTCTTCTTTATTTTTTCAAAGGGTTAGACACGAAGAAACCCAGCTTTGGCATGAAAACGAGCATAAACTTTTGAGATCCACTTTCCAGGAGAGGACGCAGGATTCAGCCGCAAAACGAAACCAACTTTTTCAAGAAAAGAAATGGTTACAGGTAACAGGACTGCAAAGTTGTCTATAAGAACCAGTGCTGTGTGGAGAAAAGCTTGTAAGCTGTCACACAGAATTAAATAAATTTATTGTAATAGTGACTTTGCTCTGTGCAGCAATTAGAGCCTTGGCTGTAGTCCAGTTGATAATCTAAGTGATGATTGGAGATGGCAGCCACAGGAGCTGTGTTAATCTCATTATGGAGAAGCAAAACTGGAAGGCTTGGTGGCTTGTGTGTGTGCTTTAACTTTCCTCATTATCTTTTTAAGTGTGATCTTTATGTTCTAATTTGCCATTTTAATATTTCACTGATCTTCAGAAGCTTTTATTTGAAGACAAAAAGTTTTGAAGGAAGCAATCTTTCATCCATTTCTGGTTAGAATTGACTATAAATACATGATTTACCAGCTTTTGTTCCTGAAAGATGATTGATGCATTTCATAAGGATGAAGGAATCATCATGAAGCAGTTGGCGTTTGCCAACAATAACTTTGCACTGACACGTGATGTCACAATGTGGTAATTTGGCAAATGGAATATTTTTAAGATGGCTTCTGTCCAATTTTAAATCTGCAAGCCTTTTAAGCAAAATTTAGCTCTTTCTTACCGTCCTTCAAAAATCTCAGTTTACTGTCTAGTACAAGTCTTTGCTCCACCTCCTTTTAAACCTTGGTTATCACACTCGGCAATGTGACATCTTAGAGAGCTAGTAGGTCTAGTTTTCTTTTTTTTCTGTGGTATTGTCTTGGAATACTGTTATTTTTGATACTTTACTTCCTTTGGTGGATATGGTAGTATACAAAGAAATATATATACATATATATATATAAATCAGAAAGAAATGGAAAAAAGCATTGCAAAATCTTACTTTGATGAAGAAATATCTTTTCTATCCTAGTCATCACTTTTATATTGTTTTGATATATTTCATCAATGTATAAGAGCAGACATGGTCCAATTCAACATTATCAGTGTTCAGAAAACTATTTTTGATAATCTAGATGTCCAGGCCAGCCACCTCATGCTATTCAACTGAAAACTGCTGTACTTAAGACACCATGCCAGCTACTTGCTCCAGTTGAATCTTTATTCCTATGTAGTTTTACTAGGGACAAATTAGCCACATCATTGTACAGGTATGCTATTTATGAGCATTTGATCAAAATTGTCATGAATTCCAGGTTCTGGAGAAGGCTGATCTGTGATGTTTGGTGGCTCCCAGCATCCCTTAAGGATTGCTCCTGACCAAAATCTCACATGATCTGAAATAATATTTTTTTTTTTTTCCCTCAGCCCTACTTTACCTTGCTTTTGCTTCTACCCTCTCTCCTGTTGGTTTTGCATTTGTCTTCAGGGATCTGAGCGAGCCCATGATGGTGTCTAAAATTTACATATTAATGTTTCTACTGCAATCTGTACTTCCTGGAGAACACCAGCCCTTAAGTGGAATTGGAGGTTTACAATCAGCACTGATTAGCTGTCGTGTTAGAAATCTCAGTTTGAACTCAAATCCACAAAGTAAAACTCCAGCTTATGTTTAGTGAGCTGAATATCGTTGGTTGTTCCATGCTGAGACTTTAAGTCCTTTTTATCTGTCCCTGGAGGCTGACCAAGAGCACATTAAAGGCTTCTTGGCATTTCTGGAAAAGAATGCAAGAGAATTCCAGTTTACTGACTAAAATTTCCATTCTCCCAAGAATGCCTGTGAACTATTCCCAAGCAGAACAGCTTTCTCTATGTGAATACAGATTGTGTGCTTCTGGTATCTATTTCTGTTGTAAAAACATTTCAACACTAAAAGTGTGTGTGTAAAACCAAATTCTGTTCATCTCCCTTTCTGTTCCCATGCAGGTTGCTTATTGCAGTGAGTGCAATTACTACGGTTTCACAGAATATGAAGGCCTTTGTATTAAGTACGGCCTATTAAGATTTTGGCAATATTCCCAAATCAGTAACACAGAGACAGAATTGTCCTTTGTGCACACTAAAAGCCTAATTTGAGGCTGAAAGAAACAAAACTGCTGGTTTTGGCCTGCTGACCTTTCTGTCCTTGACAAATGCTTGTGGGTTGAAACATGGGCCACTCTGTTCTCTTGTTGCTAAATCTGAAACCAAAAAAGGAAGAAAATAATTGATGAATCTAGTGTGCAGCACTAATATAAGTTGAAATCGTTGAGCCAGTCAACCTTTGAACATGCAAGGACTGTTTCTTATTGCTTTAAGTGATACTTAGGGAGCTTGTTGCAGTGCAGCAAACCTGAAAATATGTTGACAAAATGAGCATTAGTGAAATAAACTTCACTTAAATTACATTGAAAACATTAAAAGAATGTTAAGGTTTCAAAGTGAAGCACTCAAAAAGCAAAGAAATGCCAAAGTCTGTGTCTGTGCATTGTATTTATGTTTTATGAGAGTCTTTAATTGCATGAGCATGCCCTTTTTTTCCTGGATCCCTGCCTCATACATTGCTGAAGATGGAAAGTGCTTGTTCAGTTATTCAGAATACCGTTTCGTCGTCATTACTCAGTATTTGGCCCCAGAACACTTTTACAGTATGCCACTCAAACCCTCTTTTGGATGCAGATTTATTAATCTGTGAATGGTCTCTTTTTACAGTATTAATCAACATGGCATCCAGGTGATTCAAGCCCACTTCATTTTAGATCCATAACATCACTTTGGGTGAAGACACATTCTTATTGCCATTTTACAGATAAAGAATGAAGAAATGAATTACCATAAAAAGCTATATGGTCATTTGTAATGTCAGTTTTGTAATGCCCTAGTTATTTACCTGAAAAAGGGTGGTGGTTTGTTTTTTTCTTTTTTTTTTTTTTTTTTTTTTTCTCATTTTAGCTGGACTGAATGTGATCAGAGCATGGAATTACGAGCTTTGACTTCTGTTGAGAGTCTATAGATAGCACTTCAAAGACCTTGGTTGTATGGAAAATGGTGAACATTCAATCTGTGACTGTATGTTGAGGTAATAGTTTAAGTGGCTTGCAAAGTTTCACAGAGACTGTAAGAGATGTAGGAATGGAATCAAATTCTCTATTATGGCATTCAACCACTTTGATAGCCAGTAGTTCTCCTGTGATTTTTTTATTTTTTTTAACTCACTTTTCAAATTCTGGGACAAATGAGCAAAAGGCCGTATATTAAATAACTTTAGCTCAGCAACCCAGACTCCTTCATGAAGTGCTCCTTCCTTGTATGCAAGCTATCTGTTGCGTTTTCAAGGAAAAACTAGAATGAGCTCTTGCAAGAAACATTAGTGTCATAATGCATGGGGTTTGAACTTCTGTCAAGATGAGTGCAACTGAGGTTGAAGCTCTGGTTATTTTAAGTCAAGGGAGGGATTTTGTGCTTTTAATTAAAATTTAATATTAGAAATTGAAAGGACTGGCCAGACAGCCCCTGATTCACCACTTTCATACTGTCCCTGATGTTGGACTGGAAGCCTAGAGGAGGAACTATTGCAGGGTTACTCTGCAGGAGGACAAACAGATGGTTGATCAATTTAGCTTCCAGTCTGTAGTAAGATTCTGTTGTCATGGTTGAACTGAGATTTTAGTTTTTTGGGGGAAGTTTTTATCTTGGGAAATACCTGTATATTTGAAAGGTAAAAGGTGACTGACAGTGTTAGAAGAAGAACCTGAAATTTGGTGTTGAAAAGGAGGTGGGGAGTTTCAGACTGTGGAAGCACTAGAGTTTCTAAATACAACAGATGTAAGAATCTTTGTGTGTCAACAAAATAATGTCTTCTCATTTTATGTTGTGATAAATTGGACAACTTTAATTCATGCTACTTCTGAGACTTGTACTGCACTTTTCTAGGGGCAGAGGGGTTCCTTTAACAGGGTTCATAGTAAACTTAGGTTTCTGTTCTATGCAGAAAGAAATTGAAGACCTCCGAGCAAGACTGACCATATTAGAAGCAAAAGATCAACAGCTAAGAAGAGAAATTGAAGAACAAGACAGGCTTATTCAGTCACAGGATTGTGAACTGACTGCTTTACTTGGCTGCCTTTCTTTGAGAGAACTACAGGAAATAAGCAAGGCTGTGGATGACACTTTAGCATCCTCCTACCAAATTCCATTCAGTCTGGATCTTCCAGGGACAGTAAGGAGGTATTTGAATTTCAACATGTTGTCAGTGATGTAGCATCTTGTATCTTCCCAATGTACTGTTGAATTGGCTGTCAGTTGTTTTCTTCGTAATTGTGCCAGCTAATTAGCTGGATTCAGACATTTGGAAATTTTCTAGTAACCAATGCTGAAGTTCTAATATTAGCATACTTCCTCGGGAAGGAAGACTTGGTAGTTATTTGAAGGTCTTACACTTATTTTTTTATGGTAAAGAGCCATCTACAGAAAGCATACGTATCCATCAACTGTTAATACCTATCATCAGTTTAAACTATTTCTTGTTAGCTGGTGGAATTTTTTCGCCAGCTTGGTAATGCAGTAATTACAACATATTTCTCACAACCTGACAGTGTGTACTAGGCACCATCCAAATAAATATTAGAGATGTTTCTTGCTTCAATGAACTTCCATTCATAATGAGGTCTGATGTGATGAACGTAAGGCCCAGGCAGTGGACTTGAACTAGTGGGGGAAGGGATAAAGCATGAAGACTTTTGGGACACCTACAGTTATATTCACAGTGTATGGTTCCTTTAAATGGAAAAGTAGCTACTCTTGGTAATGTTTTGGAAATAACCTCATCTTTATTTACAAAAGCAATAGAAATGCTTCAGGGCCTAAACTGTACTGGCAGTCAATGGGACATTGGTGATGGAACTTTGAAAGTGTTACTGCTGCTGTGTCACCAGGACAAAATAAAATTCCTGTTTATCCCAACTTGCATTTCTTCCAGATAAGCAGTAACGATGTTGCTTGCAATTTTTTTTCTCCTTTCATGTTTATTGGATTTAGTTTGGTTATATTAACGTTCATGAGAAATTGCTGCTCATGTATGCTAATTTATACAGGGTTTTTTTTAAGTCAGCACAACATTTTGTAGAGGACATATGCCTCTCTTGAGGTTTTTTTAAAATTTTAAATTAGGTTATGGGAAATAGTTTCTTGAATTAAGTTTAGTTTGTTTTAATAGTATCTTACACCTGTGCTTCCAAGATCGAGGAATAAAATGTCTCAAGCAGTGTCTGTCTTGGAGCCCATGCTTTGATTTGAGTTTTCTATTAGTTTTGGATTTGCGTATGAAAGAATATTCAGATTTTTCTCTCTCGCATTGTTGATGCAAAATTTGAGTTGCACTTAACTCTTTGGGAAATTATTTAAAGATGAGTTAAATTAGTACTGGTTCAGGAGGAACTTGCTCCAAGTTCTTCGCTCAGTGGCACCATGAATAACACAATCACTTGAGGGAGGAATACAGGCATTCATTATTTGAAGTGTGTTCAGAACTTTAATGAAGATTTAGAATTAAATTCTTTCCTTTCTGTTAATTTTTAAAAGATGCCTTGAACGGAACTTTTCTGATTTAGTTTTGCTTGTTGATCAACTTTGTGCCACCAGGGCCAGTGATCAGGTGCTTCTGCTCTCTATACCATAGCTGGAGTTCCCCTATTGCAAGTGGGGACAGATAAATGCTGGTTTGGACTGCACAAGCAAGCACATTTAGGCAGGCATCTGCAGCAGCCTTTGGCAACAGTTTAAATCTCTTGTGTCGGATTATAGTTGTGTGCTCTTGTCAAACCCCAAAGCCTTTCTAACCGGAACTAACGGCAATGATGATGCCCACCTGTGGCATGGTTATGTGGAAGCTAGAGTCCTTGGGCTCAGAATGTGGAAGCTCTGCACTTAGGTCCTCTGCAGCCTGTCTGGATCTGAACCTACAGCCTCAGAGCAAGCTCTTACCTGCTAAGGATTTCAGTGTCCTGGCAAGGAGTGTGCTCCATCACAGTTCTTAAGCTGGACCTTAACGTGTCCAGGAATGCAAAAGCAGAAATCTGGCAAAAGGCCAGAAGGCTAACAGGCAAGAGGAGGTCTGACTCTGGGAGAGTGAAAGTGGAAAGGATTAATGGTTATAGCACTCAGCTGAGATGAGAGAGAGACCTGGTAGTCATAGCTGATGAGGGAGTTGGCAACTGTCCAATGACGAAGTGCTAGATTTTTGTTTTTCTTCTTCTTCCCAACTTAAAAGCAAAGTGAGCTGGTAGGAACGTGCCACTACCTTGTTGATGAAGCCTTTCCAAAGAAGCAAGGTACCACTCACTCTATATTCAGCAGCTTCTCTCCTCTCTGCTGGAGATGATGGCTTCCCCTGAATTAAAAATAGCCTGTAGGTGTTTTCTCTACATGACGTGGCTTCTTGGTCTGGTAAATCCCATTCAAAATCTGCCCAGGTGTTGTATATGCCATGCCTGCTGCTCTATTGAAAAGTGCACAAGCTGCCTTGGGAACATAGACTGAAATCTCCAGTCCAGCTGCGTGATTCAACCACTTGACTTTGTCATGTGGCCTCTTCCTTAGTCTTTGGTTCCCAAGTCTTTTCCTCCAAACCATTTGCTCTGTAGGTGGCTGAAAGCATCCTAGAGCTGTGCTTGCCTGATGGTCAGCTGGCACATTTCCAGCATGGGTTCTCTGCCACTTCTTGCTTTCAGGGCAGGCTATATATCCAGAAGGGCTGATGGGAAGAACATGCTTCTACAGTGGCTGTGGTTAATTAACAGGGGGAGTTAGGCTCACTGTTAAACTGAACAAAATGATGGGTGTCTTCCTTTTAAAACTGTGCCGTCCATCATAGCTCAACTACAGTGATCTTATGCCTGCATCCAGTCATGCTCTGTTCTCTCTCTCTGCAAGATGAAAAAGCAGCAAGCAGATAGTAAGACATCTGGTGTCGTTATACTTCCCGTGTGCCTATGGGCATCCCCTACATTCTCATACAATTACAGAATAATTTAGAAGGTCATCTTGTCAAACCCCTGCTTAAAGCAGGGCCACAATTTCCAAGTGAGATCAGGTTGCTCAGGGCCCCATCTTGTCTGAGTTTTGCATATCTCGAAGGATGGAGATTTTGCAGCCTTGCTAGGCATGCTGCATTTCATCACTCTTGCTGCAAACTTTTGTCTCTTATCTAGCCAGAATTTCCCTCATTGTAACTTGCATTGGCTTATCCTAAACCTGTACTTGTTGTGAAAGGCAATTGTATATTAGGTAACAGGTTAAAATACTTGATGAAGCCAGTTCAGCATATTATTTTTAAATTCCAAAGTCTTGGGATATTTAACATGAAGGAGATTTTTCTGGAAATGTACACTTTATTTTATGAATCACTGCAGAGGAAAAAAAAATCTTCTAAGGTTGGGGATATCTGTGTGAGAAATAAAGCTCTTACTCATGCACATATACTGAAGATCAATGCTCATGTAGAAAGTCGTTCAGTATCGATGGGCTGTAAATGACAAACTTCTGGGTGTTGGGTTGTAAGATACTATCTATTTATTCTAACTGCATTGTGCTTTTGCATAATTACTTGTGTACATGAATTGCATTCAGCACTGGAAGAACACAGGGCTGATGTGAAGCATCTCTTAAGACAATCTGTGCTATAATGAATTGTATTGAGTGGCTTGCAGCTCACTATAAAATACAAATTATTTTGCTTTTCTTGGTCTAAATGCTATTAAATAGCAACTTATTAAAGCTAACTTCAGGGAATGAGAGAGAACATCTTAAATGAAGAATAATTGCCCAGACAGAAGTGCGCAGAAGCAAGAGAGTAAGTCAATGTAACATTGGGCTGAGCATTGTTTCTAAGCTTATTTTTCTTGTCAAACATTGTTATTTTCAGGAAGATTAATAATCTTTTGTTTTGTCTTGTTTATCTTTGGTATGTGGTGGGCTTTTTGAAAACAAAAAGCCTTTGTCAGTAACTAAAGTATGCTTTGAGTTTGAAGAATTGAGAAACGTTAGACACGTTTCCCTTTCTTTGAGGGCTGCTGGAAGCTGAGGTTAAAACCTGGCCAGTTAATGTGCAAACAAATATGTTAGCTTGTGTTCTGACAGGGATTCACATTGAGGTTGAGACCACAGAATGTGGTCGTTTTGCTCACCCAGGCAGGCCTAATTGCTCTTGGTAAACTAAAGGGTGTAATCATGATTCTAAAATGAGGGAATTGCAGTGCAAAAGCTGAGTTTGCTTATGTGGGGTTGTGTGGAGATGTGTTTAAAAGGTGGGAGCAGCTGGTGGTGTGTGCACCGTGACACATATTAGTGTTTTAACTAAAGATGACATACTGAAATTGGAGGAAAATGGGTCTGAGTGTTTCAGTGTGAAGTACTTTCCCCTGGAGATTGCAAAAGGTAACAACATTGTTACCTTTTCTGTATCCTGTACTGAAGAGGAAACCATTTCAGAAGTATGTCTTTTTAACTCGTGTAACTTGAATCTTCTAATTATAAAATAAGACCATGTTAATTATTTGACGCGTTCTCTTCAGTGCCTGTTGCCTTTTTTTGTTTCCTTTCATTTCACAGTGAAAACTGGGGAAGTCTATTTTACTTCTGTTCATATTTAGTTTCACTTAGCATTTTCTCTTTTGGTTTTATCCTTATCTACCAGTATATGTGACTGTATAGCATGTCATCCTTAAAATAAATTGTATGGTTCCATCTGGACTATTGTCTGGGCACTGAATGCTGGTTGAAAGAAAGAAATTCAATTAAATATCTTTCAAAATATTTGAATACTCCACCTCTTCTTCCACCCTTCCCATGGAACGTTTTTTAATTAGTAGGAGTTTGTTCCACAGTGGGTGTGTGGGATCTTCTGAAGATAGGGAAATTCTCTGTTCTGTATCTTAGTTATTATAGTACTGTCATGGCCAGTGGCGCAAGGAACTGAACTTGAAGTTTTATGCAACCAGTTCACTCTGCTTTCGAGATGCCTGGGGCTCATCTGACAAAGATTAATTCAAAGTGAAATACAAATGCTCAGGGGGTTGAAAACCTTATTAGTTGGAATATACTCAAAGCATTCAGCAACTTCAGTTGAGGCCAAAGCCTGATAGAGGCAAAAAGGTGGTGGGTTTTTCGGGTTTTTTTGTTTGGTTGGGGTTTTTTTTGTTTGTTTTTTGTTTTTTTTAAGAGAAGTTGGT